AGCACCGGTTCGAGCACCGTTTAAGCACCGGCACCGTTTCAAAAGTACCGGTTTGGTACTGGTATCGGATAAAACCTAAACGATACCCATCCCTAGTTATGTCATAACACACAAGAATAACATAAGTTTCTATGGTGCCGTATGTGTGTGTGTGTGTATATATGTCAATTTATGTTCTCCTTCACATTTTCCAAAGCTGTCCATTGGAGTCTGGCCTCCAGGCCTTGTGTTTGACATCCCTGCTTTAGTCCATATAGTAACGTATAGCTTCTAAAAGCTACAAACACTGTTTATAGTAATATTGGTGGTTTTTGTAAAATGTGCAGAAAAATCTGAAATCAGCCTAATGCCCCTCGCTGTCTAGCCCCAGATGTTTTTTCCTTAGCCTTAGATCTCCAGAATAAAAATAAGTCAAATGTTTACTAAAGGAAAGGTGTCTGTTTGTCACTGTTTATCTGGGGAAATGTCCCAGAAACAACAGCAGCAGCTGTAAACCACTGAGTGAGCTCCATTCAGTCCAGATGAACAAATTGGTGGCTGCTAACCTGCTAAGCGCTTCAACAATGGGTGTAAGAAGCTTTCTAAAAAAAGTTAATTCTACCTTGTGACAGGAATGTTGCTTGTGCCTCAAAATGACTTCACATGCAGATATATTTGAGATATGTTTCACAGATCACAGGCCAACAAGTCATTTACAACAGTTTAAATACGGGCCACATAATACCGGCTTCAGATGTAAACTCAGGTTGGTGAGTCAGTAAGTGCTTCTAAAATATTTATTGTTTCAAGTTAGCGCTGCTGTCAATCTCGGTCACACTGAGCCAGAGATTCAAACACATCTCTCACGCTCTGTCACACGTCTATTGTCTCATGTAGGCCGAATCAAAAAACAAATTCATTACTCATGACGAAGCTATTCAGATGATCAGGACAAGAGTGAGAAATATCCAAAACTCTATCACGTTGATTTGTAAAAGCAGCAGCACAGCTTCTCTCTCTCTTTCTTCTCTCAGACCATGCACACAATGGACGCTTTGTATGTCTAACTCTGAAACTGTCACGAGTCTCAGGAGAAGACCAGGGCCATACAAAACCAACCTCAATGCTGAAACCTTGTAAATATATACTATATGTGTATATAGACAATGACTCAACAAAACAAATGTGTCGAGACATTGTCACTGATGATATTTTAGTTAGAGTTAAAAAGACAAGGAAAAAAAGATTAGTCTGTGTATTCAAAATCTGCTGTGTATGAAATAAATCAAATGGAAATGGAAAGTTATTATTAAAACACTCAAAAAAGAAGGAAAACGTAAATTAACAAAAGAAGAAGTAATGTACCGGTGAAGACGCGCATCATTAGGTGGGCCCAGTACAGACTCCAATAGAAATAAGCAGAACACAAACAGATGTACATCTGTGGCTGTATTAAATATTATAGCTGGCATTCAGTAGTTACTTTGATGGCTGTTTAGCTTTTATAGCATGAAATGCTTGGATCTGATAAATAATATCGTGTTTTAGTAAATATATAAGTTGAGCCACTGTGGCGAACAGCTGATACAAAAACCACATAAAATGTAAATTGTAAAAAAACAAAAGCAACAAAAAAATAATGTGCCGATACAAAGTTTGACATCAGCCGCATGTTTCAGTAACATGCTGCTAAAAAGATTTGCTTTTCCTAAAAAAAAAAAAGATTTGGCATTTCAATAAGTTATCTAGCTTTCGAGATTTGCTCAATCTGCCCTCACCCCCACAGCGTTTCAAATGAAGAGACGAGATTGGGAAAGAAGGGAGTGTGCACAAATGTGGCGTAAGCACACATTTGTGCCATACGTGTAAAAAAAAAAAAAAAAGTCAAAAACACATTGTTGAAAGTAACATGTCCTTTCATGACCATGACTAGTCAGAGAGTACACTGACGGATGGACTTGTGCATTCTTGCTGTTGATTAAAAAAAAAAAAAAGGAGTCTGGTTTGAGCCATGGGAAACAGTCTCATAATCATACTTTTGGCAGTTAGTGTGATCTTCATGTAACTCTCAGGAAGGCATTTTCTTGTCAGATAAAAACAACTGACGTTAATGCCCTACAGTATTAGTTTGACATTGAATTATTTGCTTATTACCCGTTAATCCGCAGTACCCCTACTGAAAAGAAGAACTAGTGAACACAGGAAGAAAAGCAGTGAGTAGAGATGTCATTGTCAGCAGTTTATTGATATTTTGCAAGCAGAAAAACAAGACTTAAAATGAGCCACACAACCAGTAAGTGGGAGCTAACGAGCAGCAGGGCAATGGGATAAAAGTGTCGTGATGCTGGTTTGTTCTCTGTCATGGCGCCAGCCTCAGGGTCCTCCCACTGCCCAATGTCTCCCTGGGTCAGTCGACTGCAGGAGTGCCCATCAGAATGAAAACAGAATGAACAGAGACAGAGTGTGAAAACACTATAGTGTTAGTCCAGTATAGATGCTGTCTAAGTAGGCTTTCTAGCAAAGGTCAGTTGATAAAGAGACCTGACAGGGCTAGTAGCACAAGGCCCACTTAGACCCAGAGGTATTAGTACAGCCTGAATGCAGAATAGCAGCCACAGACAAGTAGACAGTGACAGGTGGAGTAAAAGTGTGAGAACCATGCCATGAAAAACACTGCAGTGTAAGCCATGAAGAAATGGCCCGATTGAAGTATGAACAAGGTCCTAAGTAAACAATCTTTTTTATAGCAGCAGTTTGAAACATGAGACTTGTTTTTTCACATAGCTGATTTCCTTTCTGTGAAATCATTCACATCAGGCTTAGGACAGATTAGCATCACTGTCAGCAGCACTTAAAATATGTTTAGCAAATAGTGGAACTACTTAGACGAGTGAGGACCTTTGTTTTTATTTTTCTCCTTTCTGAACTGTCTGCCCCACCTCATATCTTTTCACTTGTGCCAGATATTCCAATCGGTCAGATCATCCTGTTGTCCTTCTGTGTCTTTGAACTTTTGTCTCCAGTACCTCCCATCTCCTTTTCCCTTCTTTGAAAGATTTATTGTACCCTTGTGAACTCTGGCTGCAGGATACACTTGTCAACGAGTATATTCTGCAACCTATCTGCAACACTTTTTGCTTTTTTCCATAAATTCATTAAAATGCCCTTTGTTTATTGAATTCTTTTGCTGATTGCAAATAATTTTGGAACCACTTTCAATTAAAAAACAGTTGCACAGATGGGGAGAGGGACAGGAAACCTGTCGTCAACCAGTCACAATCTCACTCGGACTGACTGCACTTGTAAACAGATTTCTGAAGATTTGCAAATATTTGCTGTCTAATTCATACATGCAGACAGATTGCAAACAAGCTGCAATCAATCGGAGTCAGTCTGCACGTATATCTGCAACATGTCAATGCATTTAGTTGCATTACGGGCTTGACTCAAGTGGCTGTCGGTTGGTTGAACTGGTTAAAACAAGGCCGTCATTTGGGAGTTAAAATGCTGTTGTGCAGCTACTACGTCACTATTTGTGGAGGAATTTCTGAATGACTATTTATAATCTAATAATTTCTTGCTGGACTGTGAATGTAAAGTTCTAGCAGTAGATTTATCAACTTTAATCTCAGTATTATCTATAAGGGAAGAGAATGGGGTCAAGTAATTGTCAACTTGACATCATCAACTGGAAAATTATAAAACACTGACAGCTGACTGACCCATGTCAAAAGTATTGAGACCTGAAAGCATCCGGTTGCAACAATATTGGTCATGTTGTGGTCTGCAGCCACTGTTTAACCTGCAGCATTAATGAGTGCATGCTTTAACTACTGTGTCATTTGAGGCCATCTGTATTTCTTCATGCACTGACATCAGGTGAAAATTCATCTAACTTGAAAAAGTCTGTTCTCGGTGAAAATGAGTGAGACAAGAGACGCTGACGTTTTATCATTTTAGATATCCATCATGGTCCTTTCACTGTAAAATTCACTATACTGACTATTCCTTTTCTTCCTACAGTAAAGCAGCCGTATGGCATGTGTGCAAATCTTTAAAATATCACAAGAATAGCCCTAGCCTACGCAAAACAGAAACTTTATCTTTAAAATGTTCCCCTCACAGTTTATACATCTCTGCAGTCACAAGCTTAATTAACTGGGGTTCTCACTGAATATAATTTGGTACTGTTTTGGTTCACGGCTTTACATTGTTTCTGTTCATTTGCAGTTTTAGGAAGAACCTTTTTGTCCTGATTGCACACTGTAAACCATCCCATCAGTTAAAATGTTACTTATTACTAAAGGTTCTAGGAGTTTGGTAAATCCGTAAAACAGGTCATAAATATAATTGTATTAAAGCTGTGTTTGTGTTGTTAGTTTCTGTCCCATACAGGTCAGTCCCACGGACATTTCAGATGTGCATTTCACCAGTGTCCTTGCCAAAGTTATGCAGTTAAACCTCATCAGATTTAGGCAGATGTGAATGTTTCCCTGCTGGCAAACACACAAACACTAAACTACAGGACTAACAGGAACATGCATTGCTGCCTCTGAATGTGTGAGGAATGGTGATGATGGTTACATGATCACCATTACATGGTGATTATGTAATGGTGATGGGCTGGGAGGAAAAGTTGCAGATAAAATGCCTTTGATGTGTGTGATGGGTGGTGTGGATGCAGGTTATTACTTGTAATACATGCTTGTAATGACAAGCATACTTCAGGCTTATTCCATTCTACTGCTAAATGTAGCAAGATTAAGAGTGTGGTAACCAAAACATTGGAAAATTGATATTTTTCTTACTTGCCTGTAATAGTATCTAGTAAGATTTTTAGAATTTGAGTTTCAGTAAAAACAGCCTCGCATGTATACTCTGAATACATAAACCAACAAGATCCTGAAAGTAACTTTACTTGAAGAGAGGAGACAACGGCAGAAATCTCTGATCACCAAGATATTTTTTCGTTGAGCAAAAAATCCGCATTTATAACTAACTTTTTAAGTGAAGTCTGTTTAGGACTGGCTTCTGATGCCTCCTTTAATACTGTCTTACCTGCGCATGCAGTCCAGAGCGCGCACGAAGAAGTCCTTGCTGAGCTGGTGTTCATCACGTAAGAGAGCGCACTGCTCTAGAGTGACAGACATGGATGTTCGGTCTTTGGCACTTTTACAGCTGGTAAACCTGATGCCATTTAACCTTCGGCAGATCTGGTGGAACGTGGATGAGGGAAAAAAACAACATCACCGTTGGTTTGGCATACATCATGAAGGCAAAATGTTGTGAAGTGACTCATCTCGTTTTACATATCCTGACGTAGACACGTGCACACATCTGCCATGTGATTAGTGTTTTCATTTTGATGTCATCCTTGCTTCACTCTGATGCATCCCTAGTATTGATAACCTGCAGAAGGCTCACTTGCACGCATAAAAGCTTGAGAAGGAGCGTTGGGTCTCTCTCGCGCTCTCGCTCATTTCCATCTGCCCTGGCATTACTCCTCATTTGCCTTTGTAGTTTCAAGTTACTCATTATTAGTTGAAGTGTGTTTTACTTTTACCTCTGCCAAGGATGATTCAGGTAATGTTCACGTGCGTGTGTGTCATCATTCTTTCATAAGTTGTGAATGAATTTTGATAAAACGTTGTAGGGATGTAGACCGAGTTTCTGTTAACAGTCCATTAAAATGTAGTTTTCATCCATAAAGTCTTCAAATTCAACTTCATCTTTTAAAAACCAAAATGGACCAAAAGTCTTATAACTTCATTAAATACGATTCTTACAAGTGTAGTGTGTACTGCCAACAAATCGAATACATACAGTGGTCCCTCGCTATAACGCGGTTCCCCTTTCGCTGTCTCGCTGTTTCGCGGATTTATTTTTGTGCAATTTTCCGTGTTTCTTTTCTTTTTTTTCTATAAGAGCAAACTGTGTTCTGCGTCCTGATTGGCTGTAGACCATTGTCAATCAATCTGGCGCCATGTCTCCTGCACAGTACACAATGCGTTCAGCTTGTCAAAATTACATAAATCTGATCGCTTAGCAGTGTGACTGTACTGTATGTTTGCAAGTTTTCTCCCCAACAAACAACAATGTCGACGAAATGTTTTGCACCATCTATGGCACCTGTGGGTGCCTTTGGTTTTATTCTATAATACTGGACTTATTTTTCTATGAAGGTTTGAACTTTGAGAGTGTTTAAACAGATTTAAAGTATCATGTCACATTTGACCTCTGACCTCTCCCTCAAGGTCAATAGATTTATCTGAAGAATCTGATCTGAAGTGATAATAATGCCATATTGAGCTGTTTAAAACTATGTTTCTCAATAAAAGCCTGCTACAAACTTAAAGTATGCTTAAAAAGAACAAAGAAAACAACATGAATATATACAAAATACAATATCGTTCCCTTCAAAGTAATTACCATCCAGACAGTAAAAACAGTAGAAAAACCCCATCGCGCCTCACCGTTCCAGCAGTCCACAGTATCTCCACATTCTTTTTCTTCTTCGCGACTACATTCTGGCCCAAAGTTTCAAGTAATTCCTTTATGTCAGTCTGTGTCTGAAAACACGGTAGACCTGTTTGCACAAAACAAAAACAGAGGTTAATGAGGACAAGCTTCAGGCTGTTGATCAGGTGTGGATATTTCTTTCACAGAAATGTTTTACATGTTAAAATTCACGGTTGCTTTGTAAAAGGTGTGAACCATTCTAATGGGATTATAGTACACATTATTCACCCACACAAAAAAAACATGTTAATACTGTTTTCTGCACATAAACACATGAGACCAAAGATGAAGATGTTTCTTTAGTAAAAATGATTTTAAAGTTGTGCACTTACATTCTAGTGGCACCTTTTCACTTAATGATTTGTAATAGGCTTCTAATGTCTCAAAGTTCTTCTGGTTTATTCTTTCTTGTAGAGAGATATCTCCAAACCTAAGAGCAGAACAGAGTGTAAGATCGGTTAGGGAAAAAATATTTATCCTGATAGGCAGTTTGTGTGAATCCTGGCCAACCCTGCCCCAAACATGGTTCAGTGGGGTGGTCTCTGGATATGGTGTTTGTTACTGGTGTATTTTTTTTGTCATAGCCCGTTGTACACCAGTGGTGCGAGTTTCAGTTATTATGCAAATGTACTGTTTATAAGGTTGGGGAAATCTGCAGTCAGATGAAAACAAAGAAGTCACTTGGATGAGTGAAAACTCTACATCCAGATGAACAGAGATGCTTCTTCTGTAGAGTTTCGGGCCTCTTGGTGTTGTTGAGCTGGCCAGAAGTTTTAAGGTGTGTCCTGGATGAATGTTGGTTTTGAACATTCCTAGAGTTTTTGGGTATCTCTCTGATAAGTTTATATTTGGTTTTCAGCCTCCCACACTTGCACTAAAATTGAACTTCATATGGAGAGCTCCATTGAAAGGTGATGTTAGGTTCAACTTCAGAAGTCTTGCCTGTTTAATTTCGAATGAAATAACAAGAAAGCAGCCCTCATATGGCCACAGAACTGCTAGTCAGCCAGCTGCTCATATGCTTTCAATCTCTGAAAGTATGTTGGGTTTTTTTTTTTTGTAAAACCCATTAAATCACAGCTGAAAGTCTGCACTTCAACCACACGTTAATTGTTTGATTTGTGGTGGTGATGTACAGAGGCAAAATTCTCAAAGTTTCCCCCAAAAAAGCATATGCACCTAACTGTATATATGCAGATGTAATGTCCAAAGACCCACTGGATTAGCAGCAAGAGAAAACAAGCTTAAAAACTACCTATAATTTATGCCTAAATTGATTCAGCAAATACACTATCAAACAGACAAATAATTCCTATTTTAAGGTCAATGCGTACAATAAGTCAAAGTCTACGTAGGAACCAGAAAGAAGAAACTTCAGAAGATTATGAAAAGGTCCATCAGAGGTTTGATAGACCGGACACAAATTTTGCTTCCATTTCCTTCAAAACTGTCACGTTTACATGAGAGACCCATAGACCTTACCAAACTTTCCAAAGATCGCAAATCTTTTAGTGCCTATTGCAAACATGAAGAGATGACTCGAAGAAAACCTACAATGAATCATTTCTACCAAAATAAATTATGTTTTTGATAGAAACTCTCAGCACTCCACGCAGGGGAGCTTCCAGCTACCGGATGGAAAGGCGTCTCTGGCTAGACAATGGAATTCAAAGAGTGCGCAAAGCCAAGATGAATGTTACATGTTAAAAAAAACATATAAAATTGTATAAAACACAACTTGAAGATACTGTAAGCAGTTGGAACTTGGTTGGATCACTGGGTGAAAGGTCATTCAAAGTAAGGGAGGTGAAAGCATTGAGGAGGCCCGTGGTAAAGGTTCAAAAGGCTCAAAGGTCAGGGAAGAGTACAGCAGGCAGGTTTCCACGCCAAAAATAATGTTGTTATTGTTTATGTAACAGCAGCTATATGTGCTTTTTCTTTAAAGCCATAATCACAATTTATCACGTAGCAGAACTAAAAACAATAAAGGCACTTAGTAAAAAAATGTGAATATGCTATTAGTGGGTTGGATGCCTCCAGCTATAACTAAACAACAATAATCTTTTAGTTATAGCTATAGATTTAAAGCATTTCCTTTAGAAATGATAATAGGATCTGTGTTTAGATCAGCACATAAACAGTGCTCGTCTTCATGTGCACTGGAGTTGAGCAAAGAATATCCAGGTTACCTTTCTGCTATTGTTTGTTGTTCATTAATCCCCACGTTAAAGAGCACCGGGAATACTTGGAGAAGCTTCCCCTCCTTGATTTCCTCTGGTAAGGTATGGAAAACCAGTTTAGGTAATGGCACTTCTACAGTGAAGTGGTCTCTAAATGCAAAGAGAAAGTGAGAGAGAGAGAAAATAAGGATTAAGACGGTGAAACATCCATCAAAAAAGTAATTTGATACATTTTACCGCATGACAGATGTGATATGTTTGGGAAGTTCTATAACGTGATACCTAAGACAGGCCTGAGCAAGAGGTAAAGAGAGAAACTGATGGTGTGTATACAAACCAGAGAGCCAGTGTGCGCGTTTTAGAATTCCTCAAAGAGTGACACGGAAGTGGGAGGTGCCACAGGAGTGTAATATCACACCAGACACAATGTTCAAGGTAAGCAAGAAAAAACAGCTTGACCTTTCAACAGCTGTCCAACACGTGAGCAAATGTTCTCTTCAAAGATGGGAAAAGACATTCGTGATCAGCTGATTTGAACTTTTAAACCAGTGTACAAAACTGCTGTGGACTGAAGCCAGAGAATATCTGTATCAACAGCTCATCTGTATATGGAGTAAAGTTCACCTGGTTACCAGTTGTATTGTGAAGCTATGCTACCTGCAATACTATTAAATAATTCTTTTCCCCTATGGGAGGTATCTTCGATTAGGCTAAATTATCTTTCAAACTTTTCTTGACTCAAATTGAACTGCACTAAATAAATGCTAAAATGGTTTTTAACTTTTTGTCTTACAAGACTGTGTGAAATCATAATCACGTATAACAATTGTTAAAATACGGACTTTGTCATACTCAGTAGTCACTCTCCTTTCCG